GATATCTTAAAGAAGTACCCAGACTCCTGGTCTGAAAACTCTTTGGAAGGGGGTGGTATTCAGATTCTTTATCAAAAGAATTTAGAGAGCGCATGTCACACACACACACACACACACACACACACACACACACATACATACACGGTCTCCTGTCTTCTCCACCCTCCCTCTCTCCAGGCGCCAGTTGGCCTGAAACACACAAAGCTGAAGCTTCAGGGACAAGGGCAGTCTTTAGGGTTAGACGTGGCTCAGAAAGGACCAGAAGAGGCTTGGCAAACTGAAAAGGGAACGGTGTGAGTAAAAGACTGCCTTGGGCACACAGGTGCACTTTCAATGGAAAAGCAGGAAGACAGTGTTTGACTCTTTCAATGAGCTTGACCTGGAACATCTGCGGACTGGTTGTATCTTTAAGATCAAAAGAAGAAATAAATGGCAAATATCTTTCTTCTCTTTACTTCCTAAATTTATTTGTTTGATTATAAAAGCCACATTACCACAATCCAGAATATACAAAAATAGAGGAAGAAAGAAAAAAGGCTCTAGTTAGACTACCTCTCTAACACGAGCTCCATGAGTAAAGCCAGTAATGAGTAGATTCATTTATACTTAAAATTATTTTAATATTTTAAGGGTTATTTACATTTCAAGGTGTTTTTTACTACTGGAACTTAGTGAATGAAATGGCTATTCTGTTCTTATTGTGTGAGATCAACAAGACACAACACGAATGGTCAAAAATAAGACATTTATAGAAATAAGGACTCTGGAAACGGTGATCTAGCAGAGGCTTTTCCATCTATAACTTCTTAATAGGAAAATGAGTTGCTAAATAGAAAAGGACAAAAACATTAAATGCTCGCATACACTCATTGTGTCAGAGGTGTCCGAACCAGAGCGACTCCATTTTGAGTGAGGGCTGGGAAAATGAGGCTGAGACTTGCTGGGCTGCATTCCCAGAAAGTTAGGCATTCCTAACCTCTACATGTTTATGGTTAGGGGAACAGATTGATAATGTTTACCAAACAGACCCAGACTTGGAGTGTCCAGATATCCCAGTATCTGGGAACAAAGGCATTTCTAATTTTGCTTTAACTAAGGCATCCCTAATATTATGGTGGCTCATACCTGTAATCACAACACTTTGGGAGGTGGAGGTGGGTGGATCACCTGAGGTCAGGAGTTCGAGGCCAGTCTGGCCAACGTGGTGAAACCCCGTCTCTACTAAGAGTACAAAAATTAGCTGGGCATGGTGGTGGGTGCCTGTAATCCCAGTTACTTGGGATTCCATCTCAGAAAATAATAATAATAATAATAATATTGATTCTTGCAAACTACAGCAATTAAGAAAATTAATCCTTTATCACAAACCCTTGTAGTGGAGCACATCTCCCCAAGATCTTTTTTTGTTTTCTGTTTTTTTTTGAGATGGAGTCTCCCTCTGTCACCTAAGCTGGAGTGTAGTGGTGTGATCTTGGCTCACTGAAACCTCTGCCTCCCAGGTTCAAGTGATTCTCCTGCCTCAGCCTCCCAAGTAGCTGGGATTACAGACAAATGCTTCCATGCCTGGCTAATTTTTGTATTTTTAGTAGGGATGGGGTTTCACCATGTTGGTCAGGCTGGTCTTGAACTCCTGACCTCAGGTGATCTACCCGCTTTAGCCTCCCAAAGTGCTTAGAGTGCTTACATTACAGGTGTGAGCCATTGCGCCCGGCCCCAAGATCTTTTCTATCATATATAATAAGCATTATACCTAGGGTGGACGTGTTCCTCCTCTTACTTTCAGGAATGCCCTACTCTGTCTATGGAGCAGCTATTCTTTCACTACTTTCTTTTCTTTTCTTTTTTTTTTTTTTTTTGAGAAGGAGTCTCGTTCTATCGCCGAGGCTGGAGTGCAGTGGCACGATATCGGCTCACTGCAACCTCCGCTTCCTGGGTTCAAGCGATTCTCCTGCCTCAGTCTCCTGAGTAGCTGGGACTACAGGCACAAGCCACACTTGGATTTTTTTTTTTTTAAAGTAGAGACGGGGTTTTGCCATGGTGGCCAGGCTGGTCTTGAACTCCTGACCTCATGTGATCTGCCCGCCTCGGCCTCCCAAAGTGCTGGGATTACAGGCATGAGCCACTGCGCCCGGCCCACTACTTTATTTTCTTAATAAACTTGCTTTTACTTTGCAATGTGTATTCGCCCTGAATTCTTACTTGGCGCGAGATCCAAGAGCCCTCTCTTGGGGTCTGGATAGAGACCCCTTTCCTGTAACAATTGTATTTAGAAATTCCATCTTCTATAGAACCAAGAGATGAAGCAAATAAAGATCAAAAAGAAAGAAGGCTACATTCCACACAATCCTATCAACCACCAATTGTGACTCCCTTTGTGGCTGAGTAATAAATAAGAGGCACAAACACAAAAACAGAGGAGTAACAGGGAAGTTATACACCGAAATAAAAGACAGGTGAAGACAGGGGAAAGAGGTGAACTGCAGTTGTTGGCTGGAGATTGTCCTGGAAGAAAAAAAGTTTCTCTAGATTGAGGCCCATGAGAAGACTCCAGAATCCGACTAGTTCTGTTTAAAAACATGTTGGAATAAGCATTAGGTGTGGTATGAATCTGTCAGAAAGCAACAGTCCATCTTCTAAGCACCTTCATCTTGCCCAAGATGTGATTTTGTGGCTGAGAGATGTGAGAGGGAACAGATGAGACTATTATGGGGCAGAGAGGCAAGAATCGTCAGTAGAGAACAACTCAGCAAAATTTCCCAAATTGTGTGCAGGAGACTAGGCTAAGTATTCTGCTGAATGGCTCCCACACCCAGGAGCTCACACACTGTTGGGGAAGCAGACACACAGAATTAAACCTAATGGTCAGGAGGCAGGCAAACTGGGTGAAGTGGACCCTAGAGCTCCAATTACTAGCTAGGAAATTTTGAACAAACCACTTCTAGGAACCCCAGTGATCTCATCCGTAAAATGGGAATAAGTCTGCCTCCTGAAGGTTGCAGTAAGAATTAATGTATCTAAAGATCCAAGCACACGGCCGGGTGCGGAGGCTCATGCCTGAAATCCCAGCACTGTGGGAGGCTGAGGTGGGTGGTTCACCTGAGGTCAGGAGTTCGAGACCAGCCTGGCCAACATGGCACAACCCCGTCTCTACTAAAAATAGGAAAAAAATTACCTGGGCATGGTGGCAGGCACCTGTAATCCCAGCTACACGGGAGGCTGAGGCAGGATAATTGCTTGAATCTGGGAGGCGGAGGTTGCAGTAAGCCAAGATGGCGTCACTACACTCCAGCCTGCGTGACAAGAGCGAGACTCTGTCTCAAAACAACAACAACAAAAAACAAAGATCCAAGCACAAGGACTTGCAAATGGTGGGTGCTAAAGAAGTGATGGTTTGTCAATGAAGACTGTGACTTCTGTGAGGGTCAGGACCATGTCCATCCTGTAACTCTTACATCACTGAGGCCTGGAAGAGAGCCTAACATGTAGTAAATCTTTGAAGAATGAATGAATGGCAATGGTAGCTAATCCTTACATAGTACTTGGTATATGCCAGGTTTGATTCTAGGCATTTTGTCTACATTAACTCAATCCCCACAACACAATTATCATTTCCAATTTGCCCAGGTTCACACAGCTAGTAATGGGTAGATCCAGGATTCAAACCCCGGTAGCCTGACTCCAGAGTAGTGTTCTTTATTAATCACTATACTGTACCATCTCTCAAAGCAGTTGTTATTATGGCTATTGTTATTATTGAGACAGAGTCTCTCTCTGTACCCAGGCTGGGTTACAGTGGCACAATCATAGCTCACTGCATGCAGCTTTGAAGCTCAGGTGATCCTCTGCCTCAGCCTCCCAAGCAGTTGCAACTACAGGTGTGCATCACCATGCTCAGCTAATTTTTTTTTTTTTTTTAAGACAGAGTCTCACTCTGTTGCCCAGGCTGCAGTGCAGTGGTGTGATCTCGGCTCACTGCAACCTCTGCCTCCCAGGTTCAAGCAATTCTCCTGCCTCAACCTCCCGAGTAGCTGGGACTACAGGCATGTGTCACCAAGCCTGGCTAATTTTTGTATTTTTAGTAGAGACAGGGTTTCTTTTTTTTTTTTTTGAGACAGAGTTTCGTTCTTGTTGCCCAGGCTGGAGTTCAATGGCACAATCTTGGCTCACCACAACCTCTGCCTCCTGGGTTCAAGCGATTCTCCTGCCTCAGCCTCCCGGGTAGCTGGGATTACAGTCATGCACCACCACACCCAGTTAATTTCGTATTTTTAGCAGAGACGGGGTTTCTCCATGTTGGTCAGGCTGGTCTCGAACTCCCGACTTCAGGTGATCTGCCCGCCTCGGCCTCCCAAAGTGCTGGGATTACAGGCATGAGCCACCGTGCCTGGCCAGTAGAGATAGGGTTTCACCATGTTGCCCAGGCTGGTCTCCAACTCCTGACCTCGTGATCCACCCACCTTGGCCTCCCAAAGTGCTGGGATTACAGGCGTAAGCCACAGCGCCCAGCATTTTTTTTTTTTTTTTTTTGAGATGGAGTTTCGCTCTTGTTGCCCAGGCTGGAGTTCAGTGGCGCAATCTCGGCTCACTGCAACCTTCACCTCCCAGGTCTCCGGGTTCAAGTGATTTTCCTGCCTCAGTCTCCTGAGTAGTTGGGATTACAGGCGCCTGCCAACACGGCTGGCTAATTTTTTGTATTTTTAGTAGAGATGGGGTTTTACCGTGTTGGCCTGACCTCAGGTGATCCACCCGTCTTTCCTCCCAAAATGCTGGGATTACAGGCATGAGCCACCGTCCCTGGCCTCAGCTAAATTAAAAAAAAATTTTTTTGCAGGCCAGGCACAGTGGCTCATACCTATAATCCCGGTAGTTTGGGAGGTAAAGGTGGGAGGATTGCTTGAACCCAGGAGTTTGAGGCCAGCCTGAGCAACATAACAAGACCCTCTTGTCTATAAGAAATAATAGAATTAGTCAGGCATGGTGTCATGCATTTGTGGACCCAGCTACTTGGGAAGCTGAGGAGGGAAGATCAGTTGAGCCTGGGTGGTTGAGGCTATAGTGAGCCGTGATTGTGCCACTGCATTCCAGCCAGGGTGGCAAAGCAAGAAAGACCCTAGCTCAAAAACAAAAACAAATTTTTCGTAGGGACGAGGTCTTGGTATTTTGCCGAGGCTGGTCTTAAACTCCTGGCCTCAAGCAATCTCCCCGCCTCAGCCTTTCAAAGTGGTTATTATTTTCACTACTATGGAGTGGGAGGCATGAGGTACATATAACCATCTACCTTACAAGTATATTGTGGGGGGTCAAAAAAGATAATGTATGTGAGAGTATTTCACTATCATCAGCAAAGTGATAAATAATTCAAAGTATTGCTATTATTACCACTACATTAAGAAAATTTGGTTTACCACCAAGGAATAAGAATAGGAGGGGAAGGCCAGGTGTGGTGGCTCATGCCTGTAATCCCAGCACTTTGGGAGGCTGAGGTGGGCAGATCACTTGAGGTCAGGAGTTCAAGACCAGCCTGGCCAACATGGTGAAACCCTGTCTCTACTAAAAATACAAAAAAATTAGCTGGGCATTGTGGCATGTGCCTGTAATCCCAGCTACTTGGGAGGCTGAGGCCGCAGAATTGCTTGAACCCAGGAGGCGGAGGTTGCAGTGAGCTGAGATCACGCCACTGCACTCCAGCCTAGGCAACAGAGCAAGACTCCATCTCAAAATGAATGAATGAATGAATGAATAGGAGGGGAAAGGCACAGCTCTGAAAACAAAGAATAGAGAGCAGAAGCCAAAGGCAGAGTGGCTGGGCGGATGAATAAATGAAGGGGATTGAGAGGAAGAGGGAGGTGGTGTAGATGCGGGGAAATGAATTTAATGTGGTCTGAGCACAGTATCGGGCCAGCGGGGGTCAGATGATGTTGGTGGCTGGCATACTGGAAGCTCTGATCAAGCTATGCCGCAGAATGGAAAGCATCAGGAAGAAATCTGCCCGGCAAGCAGAAAGGGGCCAGACTCCAAGGTCTTTGAGGCGAGTGGCCTCTCTAAGATAATGGGCAGGAAACAAATAAATTGGGGAAGCAGAATGGACACAGACAATCTGGACCTCATTCAGGAGCTCTGGACTGAAGAAGAATAATGCTTTCCTGATAAAACCCAAACTTTCACTTTGATGGGTCTATGAAAAAGAAATTAGGGCCAATTCAAACCTGAAAGACCAGGCTTTTGAGACACTTCACTGAAAGCGTCGGGACGGTCAGTAAAGAAAGGCAGGATTACTAATGTCTAAGAGATTTCTACCCATGCCTGACAGATCGAGAATCTCAAACACACTGAAGTTCACAGTGGCATTATTATTAACTGGAGGTTACTGAGCTTTTCAAAAACCTTTTATTTTAAAAGTATTTTTCTCTGCTAGACCTAGAGATAAATGGCAGTTTTACCCTTTCTGGATTGTGTCTGGCTGCTAAATGGGGAGAGCATCTAAACTGCAAATTGGAGATGGGGTGGAAGGGGGATGAGGCGGGTATCATGTGTGGTTTGCACTGAGAAAAAGGGAGAAATATTTAACTGGCCAACTGCCAAAAATGCTACAGGGACATGGACAGTCTAGGTTGTTTAGGGACAAAGACCAAGATGGTGGGTAGCAGTTAACCCTTGGGAGGGATGATAGCTCAGGGGTCCTAAACCAAAAATAGGCAGTCAGAACTCCCAACACCTAACTGTGTATGCTCCCCGGCTGGCTTATGCTGAGGCATGCTGCCCAAGGGCTGGAGTGGTCAGTGACCTGCAGCTGGGACAGGAGTGGCAGCCGTGGTGGCAGGAGCAGCGGTGGCAAAATGTTTCAGAATGTCTTTAAATAGCAACCTGAGGAAGGCGGCAGCTTTCCTACACCCCCACAAGCCCTGAAATAGCACAAAGGCACAGGGAAAATGGTCGGAGTGTATGCAAAGGCAGCAGGCTACTGTTTGTGAGAAAAGAGATTGGGAGCATTGTCCTGAGAAGGTGAGTACAACCCCAGCTTTCAAACTGTACTCAATTATCACATATGGGGGAACAGGCTTCATTGTTTCCAGTCCTTCAAGATCTCCATGCAGACAACCCACTGAGGGCACCACAGTTCTATTTCCTTTCTGCACGGAAAGCCTCCCACGTGGGATTAGACAGCATCTGAAAAAGGCTCACCACTACTGTTTATTGAATGTTTACTACATTTCAGTCATTGTGCTAAGCCCTGGACACACATTATCTCATTTAACCCTATGAGGCAGGTATTATTAGCCCCAGTTTATGAATTAGGGCACAGGAGGTTAGGGAGGTTTAGAGATTTGCTCAAGGACAAATAGCTAGAATTTAAATCTGCATCTGTCAGATCTAAGTTCACAAACCTTGCTTTTCATATGTGCATTACTAGGAAATCCAATATGCATGAGGACACCATGCAGAGAATTTGATCTTCCTCCTGCACCATCAAAAGTTGTTTATTTGGATGGTGCCTGGCCGGTGAGAGAAGACAGGGAGCAGCAGATGGGCTGGTGGCTGACTCCACGGGTTAGGCTTCCTTTAGGATGCCAGTTTGCTTTAGGGCACCCTGAATCACCTCAGGCTTACCCTGGTCACACAGCCTCAGGTCATGCCTCTGTGGATGGAGGAAGTGCAGACTGCAGTCCTTAGTGCATTTGCTCACGGGAATTCAGCTCTGTGCAAGATGCTTCAGGAACGTAAGGTGCTTCAGTAGGACCAAAGGCCAAAAAACCCAGAGTCCCTGACACATCAGAGGCTCTGGTAAGGGTTTGTATTATGTGCTAATATACACATGGCATGAACCAGACTGGAAAAAACAACCTCCCACCTACACCAGAAAAGTATGGCTATAGAGCTGGGCGTGGTGGCTTATGCCTGTAATCCCAGCACTTTGGGAGGCCAAGGCAGGCAGATCACTTTAGGTCAGGAGTTTGAGAGCAGCCTGGCTAACAAGGTGAAACCCCGTCTCTGCTAAAAATACAAAAATTAGCCAGGCGTGGTGGCACATACCTGTAATCCCAGCTACTCAGGAGGCTGAGGGAGGGGAATTGCTTGAATCTGGGAGGTGGAGTTTGCAGTTAGTCGAGATCGTACCATTGCACTCCAGCCTGGGCAACAGAGAGCCTCCAACTCAAAACAAAATAATAATAATAAAGAAAAGTATGGCTACACGGTCCAGAGTGTATACCATCGCCTCTGAATGATACCATCATTCTAGTTAATGATTCTCTATCCTCACTACTCATTAAAATCCCCCAAAGAACCTGTTTTTTTTTTTTTTTTTTGGAGATGGAGTCTCGCTCGGTCGCCCAGGCTGGAGTGCAGTGGCCACTGCGACTGGCCAGGTTTTTGTATTTTTAATACAGATGGGGTTTCACCATGTTGGCCACACTGGTCTCTAACTCCTGACCTTGTGATTCACCGCCTTGGCTTCCCAAAGTGCTAGGATTATAGGCATGAGGCACTTGCACCCGGCTGATTCTTTTTTTTTATTTATTTATTTTTATTGGCCAGGCACGGTGGCTCACGCCTGTAATCCCAGCACTTTGGGAGGCTGAGGTGGGTGGATCACACGAGGTTAGGAGTTCCAGACCAGCCTGGCCCACATGGTGAAACCCCGTCTCTACTAAAAATACAAAAATTAGCCAGGTGTGGTGGTGGGCGCCTGTAATCCCAGCTACTCGGGAGGCTGAAGCTGGAGAATCGCTTGAACCCGGGAGGCGGAGGTTGCAGTGAGCTGAGATCACACCACTGCACTCCAGCAGGTGACAGAGTGAGACTCCGTCTTAAAAAAAATAATAAATAAATAAAAATTAAATTTCTTTTTATGCTCCCCAGGTAACTCTTACAATCTAATAATAATAAGATCCTCCCCAGGAAACTAATAATCTAATAATAAGGATGCAGGATGGTAGGAAAAAACACTGGCTAGGAGACTGCAAGAGAGATACCATGGTTTCAAAAGGAGAGGTCACTTTTTCATAGACTTTGCCTATGAAAAATCTAAGCATCAGGTACAGGCAAAGTGATTTGGACATAACCTATTGCACTTCTTGGAATTTTCTGAATTATCAACAAGGATTTTATTTTCCAGAAGGCAGGCAGTCAGAATAAGTTTTGACCCACAAATTGAAATTGCATCTTTTCCCCAAAAATATTTTTAAAAATTTGTTCTTAAACATACGTATGTGAAGTATGATTCTGAAGATAAAGTCAGGCTACTGAAATGCATTTTTTTTTTTTTTTTTTTTTTTGGAAATGGCGTCTCGCTCTGTTGCCCAGACTGGAGGGCAGTGGTGCGATCTCCGCTCACTGCAAGCTCCGCCTCACTGGTTCACGCCATTCTCCTGCCTCAGCCTCCCAAGTAGCTGGGACTACAGGCACCTGCCACCATGCCTGGCTAATTTTTTGTATTTTTAGTAGAGACGGGGTTTCACCGTGTTAGCCAGGATTGTCTCCATCTCCTGACCTTGTGATCTGCCCACCTCAGCCTCCCAAAGTTCTGGAATTACAGGCGTGAGCCACTGAGCCCGGCCCTGAAGTGCATTCTGTAGGAAGATGAAAGGATAAGATAAATGCAGCTCCTCCTTGGCTGGGAGCAAGCATTATGGCAAAAACCTCTGCCCAGAGGGGACGAATTAAAGGAAATACATGAGCTAAAATTTTGACAGTTAAATAAATATAAATATAATGGGAAGATGCCTTTTCTTTTTTTTTTTAGACAGAGTCTTACTCTGTCGCCCAGGCTGGAGTGCGGTGGCACGATCTCGGCTCACTGCAACCTCTGCCTCCCAGGTACTGCTTCAGCCTCTTGTGTAGCTGGGACTACAGGTGCATGCCACCACACCCAGCTAATTTTTGTATTTTTAGTAGAAATGGTTTCACTATGTTGGCCAGGCTGGTCTCAAACTCCTGACCCTCAGGTGATCCACCTGCCTCGACCTCCCAAAGTGCTAGGATTACAGGCGTGAGCCACCACGCCCGGCCAGAAGCCAAATTTTGAAAAGCAGAGTGGTTCT